TCAGAGGTGTTGGACGTCTACCCTCAGATAGGTAATCTGGGTTTTTAATGCTGGTCACTAGTTCCTATGAGGAAAGAAGGGAGGAAGAGAGGGTGGGAAGTGGAAGAGGGGAGGAAGGAAAGGAAGGGAGAGAAGGATGGAGGGAAACAATGTTTGAGCTAAACAAAACAGGCAGTGGGTTTGATTTATCCCGTGGTCACCAGTCTGTAACTGCCATTCTCAAGAATGAAAGCTTGTGTGAGAAAAGCGGGTATTTAATATTTTTGGGGGGATATGTTTTCCCTTTTATGGTACTTTAATGTTTCTATGCAAAGCTTAAAACCCGACAGCGGGATATTAAACCTTGGTGGCCACTTAATCTTCCTGATCGGATCGGACGTAACAAGTGCTAGGAAGCAGATGCTGCCCGTTGTTTTAGAATGTCTTCTATTTTCTTTGTATTATTAGCTTTAAATATTCTTCTGAACGCACTTGCCACCTCCATGCAGTTAAGCCGGTTCAATTTAAACATTGTCATAAAGTTAATTTTTTATAAGATGAATCAGGTTATTAAATTTAGTAAACCATTGCCTTTATTATTTTGCACAAACTTTGGCACTCTGCAGAATTGGCTCAGCACTACTACATTTAGCTAATTAAACTGGTCATCAGCCGTGGAATTAGGAGCATGAGGGATGCTATTCTCATGAGCTTTTCCAAGACTTTAGCAGTAGGTAACATTATTAAACTTTCTTTTCTTTTTCTTTCTTTCTTTCTTTCTGTTTCCTTTCCTCTCTTCTTTTTTTCCCCCATAAAACTCCACACTCTGGAGCTATGGTTTACTGTGAGAGTGTCATTGTCCTTCCTGTTCCACCTTCATCTTTTGAAATATCCACGCTTTGGTTTTGGCTCCAAAGGCACTTGTAAGGGATAAGAAAATGGAGCTGCTCTCACTGCTTTTAAAAGGAGACCCGCAGCATGGAACGCATTGCTCAGCTAAGGGAAGACCCAAGAGCCAGAGTGTCATTTTACACGATTTGGGTAGAGGGAGTGAACTCCAGCAGCAGCCCGGTACTCCGGGGAACTGAGAGGCTGCCGACTTGCGGCTGCCGCCCGCTGCTGTCATCACGTTGGGCATCTTCCTTTCCTTAATAAAAAGCCCTTTGCTGTATGTCATTTTGTCAGCTGAGATAGCATGACTTAAACAGGTGTGTTTGGGAAGATAAACTTTGATAGGAAATGTGCATGCTCTTCCCCACAGATTTCTAGGTAGCGTCATTAAAAACCACGGTGAGCCCCATTTTTGCAGGATCTTAGTATTTATTCATTATTTTAAAAAGGGCTATCAGTGTTGTTCGTTTGTTGTTGCCAGAGGGCTGTCAGTATTGTTTGACATGACTTGGATTGTTTTGCCACAGTCCGGAGTTGTAACCTATTAACAACCGTAAGAACCATTTGTTCCTTTGGCACGTGTTTGTTGAATCCTACTGGGTGTTCCTTCATCCCGTGGGACACAGGGATCAAAAAGGCCCACATTATAAGGAGTTTGTAGTTAAACTGGTAAATGGAGCCTGGGGTCAGCCGGGCTCTGCATTGTCTCAGTGCCCTCTCGGTCCCTTAAAAGGATGGTTGCTCATGAAAGACCAAGCATTGTGTCTGCCATCTTTCCCATCATCATTTTTTTTTTTAATACTCTCTGATGAAAATATGATGAAAAATATTCCTGAGAATTTCTCCGACCTGGACATTTCACAGGGACGCAGAGTCCACCATCTCAACAAGATCTTGTGGGAGCAGGGGAAGTCATTTTTGGTCGCTTCGCATTCCTTCCATATGGCTGTCAGCATTTCATTAGTCTGATTGATGTAGCACATCAGTTAGCAAGATTTCATCCTATGCCTGCCCCCATCCAGTTTTGGAACAGCTGGGCTACAAAACCTGGTGTTTTACTTCTTTCTCTTTTCCCCAAATGATGTAGGTGCTTCTTGCCAATGGTGGTAAGTGGTGTAATTGGCATCACGGATCAAAGTTAGTAAACTTTAGGTTATTGTCTTCTTGCTCTGTGACTCAAAGATACAGGCTGCAATGAACTTTTACTACTTACACAGGGAGGCTGCAAACTGGTATGGATGTTAAGTGTTTTAGACTGAAATCCTCTGGGCGTCATATTAGAATCTGATTCAAGTATAGGATGTTGTCCTTACGTAACGATGAGTGAATATCTTGGTATATAGAACTTGGGCATCATCTGAAAAATAACTCAAGTTATCTCAATAGTGAAGTTCACATGCGTTCTGGACCCAGTATCTACACAAACAGAATGGTGGCTGTTGTGGGTCATTTCCTTAAATTCTGGCTGATGTTAGAGCCAGTCAGCTCTTGGGCTGATGCTGGGAGCAGATCGAGGAGAGAATGTTAATTTTCAGTCATACTGAGTGTGCTGTATCTGATAGGTCATACAAGTCAGAGAGGAGACACAGGACTTTACACCAAAGATTTTGGAAAGAATGGGAATTAACACTTGTTTTCCACCTACTATTGTTCTATTGGGCTCCTAGTGTTTACCACTTACTCCTCATTTTAAGAAAGGGTCTTTGAATTTCTGATGGGTTAAAGGCGTAACTCACCGCTTATAATTAGCTAGAGCTGGGGTCGACATCGGTGACAAACTCCTGACTTTGAGTTTCCCACTGTGCTGTGCTGGCTTCCCCTGAGAGCTCGTTTATATAAATAGACTGGTCTCCATGAAAATTAGATATATGGAAGATAGGAGGGAATGAATTTTGCTAGACTCTTTCACGTGGCAATCTCAGTAAAATAATGGTACTCTGATTTTTCGTACATGCAAACAGTATCTTGGAAATAGTTGTCTGTGGTCATCGGACGTGGCTTTGGCAGAATTGCATTGCTGCTCCCTCTAGTAGGACTGATTCATTTGTTTTGGTGTACTCCGTGTGGTCTCCCGCACAGCTTACAAGAGAAGCACTTAGAGTAGCGATGTGGGGTTCGGGCTCTCAAATTAGATTTCATTAGAGTTCTGGTTGTTCCACATCTTTGCCAACATTTGGTTTGGTCATCTGAAAAAACAGTTTTTTAAAAAATTTTAGCCATTGTAGTAATGGTTATGTAATAGTATCACATTGTATCTTTTAAATTTTTTTACTATTTTTTTCAATCTCATTGTATCTTTGATTTACACTTCTCTCATGACCAAAGAGTTCTTAGGCTTATAAGATGTTATGTTTTTCTTCCTTTTCTAATTTTTTTAAGATTTTATTTATTTATTTGACAGACAGCAAGAGAGTGAACATAAGCAGGGAGGGTCGGAGAGGGAGAAGCAGGTTTCCCGCTGAGCAGAGAGCCCAATGGTGGGCTCGATCCCAGGACCCTGGGATCATGACCCGAGCCAAAGGTGCATGGTTAACAACTTCCTCTTTCTCTATTATGTGGAAGAATTTTTGGAAGATTGGTGTTTTTATTTTCTTATACGTTTGGTAGCCTTTCTGTTAAAAAAAACAGATGCAGAGTTTTCATTTTGAGACTTTTCTTTAAATATAGAATTTTTCCTAGATTATGCACTGTTATTATCACCAGAGTAATCCTACTATGTTTTCCAAAACTTACTTACAAACTACTATTGTTATCATTTTGATTTTACGATAAACTTATCATTTGTATTACTTTGTTACTTTCTGCACCTCCCGATTTTTCCTCCTGTTTGAAGAGCATCCTTGAATCTCTCCCCTAGTTCAGGTCTGCCCATAGCTGGTGACATAGCCTCTTAGCTTTTTGTTTGTCTAGTTTGGTTTATTTTAAAAAGTTATTCACCTTGGGGTAAGCCTCTGCCTTCGGCTCAGGTCATGATCTCAGGGTCCTGGGATGGAGCCCCGCATCGGGCTCTCTGCTCGGCAGGGAGCCTGCTTCCTCCTCTCTCTCTTCCTGCCTCTTTGCCTACTTTTGATCTGTCTGTCAAATAAATAAAATCTTAAAAAAAAATTAAAAAAATAAAAATTTGTTCACCTTTATTTTTGAGGAATACTTGCACTGGGGACGCCAAAGCTGGCTCATCTCTCTTGGCTTTTCTGCTTTTCCAGCCAACCCCCCCCCCCCCCCCCCGCCAAATCCTCACTTATAATGTCCCTCTGATGCCTTCAAAGCTGTGTGTATGCACGTGTGTAGGTGTTGTCCAGCTCTTCTCATTGCTCCCAGTGGGAGGGTGGCCTCCGTTGTGGGATACGTGTAGCACGGCACAGAGCACATCACACAGAGCATAGTAAACATGTTGTATGTTTATTTTCCTTTTCAGGCTGGTTTTTTCTTATTAGACTGTGAGCTCTTGAAGGGCAGTGGCCATATCTGAGTCCTTATATGTCCTTAGTCTTTATATTATATACATATATATGTGTATATATATTTTAAGATTTTATTTATTTGACAGAGATCACAAGTAGGCAGAGAGGCAGGCAGAGAGAGGGGGGGAGGCAGGCTCCCTGCTGAGCAGAGAGCCCGATGCGGGGCTCGATCCCAGGACCCTGAGATCATGACCTGAGCGGAAGGCAGAAGCTTACCCCCCTGAGCCACCCAGGCGCGCCCCCGCTTAGTCTTTATATTTAACACAGATCTACTCATCAGGTAGTGGTTATATATGGCAGACTGTGCTGTGGGCTCTTCTGTGGTTTTTCCTACACCGTTGGGGATGGTGTGTTCCTGGGCTAGGTTTTCTCAACCTCAACAGTGTTGACATTTATTGTCAGATGATTCTTTTTTGTTGTGGGGATTGTCTTGTGCTTTGTAAGGTGTTTTTTGCACCCCTGACCCTTACACACTAGATGCCAGTAGCACCCTGTCCCCAGTTGTGACCACTGAAAATGTCTCTAGACATTTGCACCTGTCTACCAGGGGACAGATTGCTTCTGGCTGAGAGCCCCTCTGGTAGTGTGTGCGGTGCTCAGTAAAGGCCGTTCAGCTGAGTCAATGTTTTGCATTATGTTTCCTAATGTTGACTTTCCTTTAAACCATAGGGTTTGAAACTGCCAAGTCTTTTGCCCTCCATGGCGCCCATGTGATTCTGGCCTGTAGGAATATGACAAGGGCCAATGAAGCTGTGTCACAGATTTTAGGAGAATGGGTAAGTAAACCCTTGACCATTTTTTTTTAATTGTCAGATACACATGCTGGGATAAACACATGGAGGTTTTAGTGCAGTGCATAAAGTTTATTGCTCTTGGAATAACGTTTTCTTTATTTTTAAAGTCATACTCATTTTGTTTATTTTATGAATGAAAGGACCAGCAGGCCTGTTATCCACACATTGTTTATGGTTCATTGTCAATGTCATCTGCTTTATTAGTCAGAGGCTTTATTTAGAATGTTTACTCATTCAGCTCATTTATTAAGAAAATAAAATGTGGTTAATGCCCATGCATGCAGCTTAGAGTTTGTTATGCTTATGGTTTTTAGGATTAGGAAGCAGTGGGCTTTAACACCATCTCTGTTTTTTACTTTTCACTTCTCTCTCTCTGTGTGGATGTTGGTGCTGGTAAGTTTGTGCACACACATTTATTGAGGGCCTGAGGTCCTCTTGAGGCTGAGGACATAGTATCAGACAGAACAAAATCCCTGCCCTCCCTTGGGCTTTACTTCCTACGTATGGAGAAATGGACTGTAAGGGATTATTTAACATACTGCTGGGTTGTTATAAATGCAGTGAAGTGTGGTAAAGCAGAGGGATGAACAGTTACAATGTGGGCTATTTTACTTGGGGTACTTAGCGGAGAACCCTCTGAAGTGGTGGCATTTCATATGAGACTTGACTGAAGTAAAGTAGCAAGCTACGCCAGTGTCCGGGGACATGGTTTCTAAGCGGTAGGAACAGCATGTGCTGAGGCACAGAAGTAGGAGTGTGCCTGTAGGATTCAGGATCAGCACGGAAGCCTGTGTGGCTAGAGCCAGATGGCAGAGGTGGAGGTGACAGAGGTGCTGCGGGGGTGTCCTTATGGCCTCAGAGCCAGTGAGGAAGGAGACAGCAGGGGGTCTGATCTAGAGAGTGGCCCGGGTCAGTCACTTTTGTAGAATGTCGCTGGGCTTTGGCGTGAAGTATAGACCATGTTCATTTATTTGCTTGTCATTTATTCACATGTTTATGATGTGAACCCTGTCATAGGTACTGGGGGATATACTGATTCTGTACAGCTTTCAGCCCAGAGCGGAAATCAGGTTTAACCAAAGACACAGAAACATCAATGTGAACTTGGAATGGTGTTACTAGGTACTAGGAAGTACCTAGTACCTAGTACTCCAAAAGTGGTGATAAGGCCTAGAGCTGGGGGAAATTTGGAGTCTCTGAGAAGGAAGCGACTGAGCTAAGATCTCAGGAAAGACCTGGGGGAGGATGGAGAAGGTCAGACTGGGCAGAGGGAATGGGCTATGTGCACGAGCCTGGGAGGAAGAGGGAGATATGGAGGAGGAGACCCTCCAGTGGCTCGGAGCAGAGCATAGAGGATGTCTGACAATCCTTCCCAAGGCTGTCTTTGTTTTCTTACCTTTTTAAAAAAGATTTATTTATTTATTTATTTGAAAGAGAGAGAGAGAGAGAGAGCAGGAGGGGTAGAGCAAGGGTCAGAGAGAATCTAAAGCCTCACACTGAATGCAGAGCCCAACAGGGGGCTCGATCTCAGGACCCTGAGATCACAATCTACGCCAAAACCAAGAGTCAGACATGCCACCCAGGCACACCCCCTCCTTTTTTTTTTTTTTTTTTTTTTTTAATTAAAGATGTCTTCGTTTTCTGAACACTGTGCAAGATTTCTTGCCATTAGAAGAAACAGACCATGATTCCTTTAGGAGAATGTCTGGTGTTCTAAGCTAAAAAGTGATCAAAGTTAAGAAAAGGAAGATTTGTTCTGCTTTTTTATAGTATATTTCAAATGAAATATTTCAAATTCAGTATATATTTCAAATGAGCCCTTGTCTTGAGTTCTCTGGGTTTTTTATTTTCAGTTAAATAAAAAAAAAAAATATGGGGCCTATTTTCTTCTGCCGGTATTAGTATCTCTTTAAGGCTTAAGTTTAATCACCTGTGTTAGGTGATGTAGTAATCACCTTCAGAGATGTACAAGGTGAACAGATGGTAACATAGGGTCTGAATCTTCACACAGGCCCGTGAAGGTAGAAAATAAAAAGCAAAAGTCCCTCCCAGTCCTTCTCTTGGAAGGTAAATATTATTAACCGTTTCTTTTATCTCCTAGCAGACATACACATGTTGTTACATACTTTGATTTTTTTTCCACTTAATACCGTTTGGAGATCTTTTCTAATCAGTCATATAGGTCCACCTCGTTTTTGGCTGCTGTATAATCTCTGTCATGTGCTTATGCTCCAACTTATCTGAGCAGTTTCCCTTTCAGTGGACCTTTAGGTTGTTGGCATTGTTTTGCTGTTCCAAGTGATGCTTTCTTAAAGTTCAGTCTCCATATTTTCACCCCATATTCGGTATAAACTTTGCTGCGGTGAGCATCCTTCAAATATGCTTTCATGAGTGACACAGGGCAGAGTCTTAGCAGTGGACCCATTGACTTAAAGCGTGTTTGTATTTACAGTTTTATTAGCAGCTTCCCAGTTGTCATCTAGGGGGATTGTAGCGGTTTCTATCCCCACTGTCAACGTGGAAGACAAGAGAGTTATCTAGCAACAGTGTCAAACCTGTAACATTTTGCCCACATAATGTTATACTTAAACTGGGAAAAATGGAATTCAGTGGCCCTAGTGATATCATAAGAACCATGTTGTACAATGATATGAATATTTAAGGCAGTCTTGGAAGGTAATACTAAAACACAAATGTTTATGCATTTTAAAAATTGTCTTCTTTCTTCTTTATATATAAGCACAGGTACATCTGTGTTAAACCCGTTATAACCGTTGTTTGAGGCAGAGAGGCAGGAGGCCCTGGGTGTTCCCTGTTTACCTATGGGGCCTCAGCAAACCTTTCCATTTGTTTTGTTTCTCTGTTTCTTCACCTCTGACAAAGAAGGTTCTGTGGTAGAAGCATAAAGACACACCATTTAGTTTCTCTTTCTTGCATTTGAAGCCATACTTGGGTCTCTGGGAGTCACTTTCAGATGACACATGCATCCTCGCCTGCTTTCTTTCTGTAGTATCAGTCACTTGACGTCATCTGGCCAGCAGTGCTCTCAGAGGAAGAGTTACTCCAGAATATTCACTGCCAGACGCATGAGTTAAGGAAATGGAAACAAAAACAAAACTAATACTCGCATGGCGTTTCAGACATTTAAATCAAATTTTGTAGGTTGTAGACTAATCTCTTTATCATATCTCATCTGTTCGCTTGTTCCCTGTGAGCACCATTATACCTTTCCTCATCCCCTAGATTATGATTACAGAAGCTCAAATGTGGTACCAAAAGCCATTTCGAATTGTTGCACCATCACCATAGTGTCAAGTGTGTGTGAACCTGCCTTTGTGATCTGCATCGAGCTGTCCTCACTACTCCACCGTCGGTGCGTGCTGGGCTGGCTTTCTTCAGGCCCTTCCTTACCCCATCTCTGCGCCGGGACTTACTCTGACACATCATTAAATACCACCTTCTTGTGTTTCTCAAGGTCAATTTGATTGACTCTGGTTTTTCCAGCTGCTGGCCGGCTTGAGCATGTTCATACTTTATCTGGGATGAAGCCTCTCGGTAGCAGAGCTGGGAAGGTACTGCAGCATATTGGCGCCTCACGGGAGACTCACGAAATGATCCAAAGTTTTTTGTTGCAGCAAAAGCTCACTCTGAAGTCTGTGGTCCATTTGGCTCAGTGTTGGCTCGTGTGTGCCAGGGCTCTGCGGGCATTCTCAGCTTGGCTCTGGAGTTGGAGTTCGTGCCTCCTTCCCCAACTTGTTCTTCCCTGCCTGGTCTTTCCTTCCCTGCCTTCACGGCCCATTCTAGAACTGCCGTGTTCCAGAACATTCGTGTCTGCCTCCAAGCCGGTGGGACATTATTCTCACACTCACCACGGGACATCTAACAACCACCCTTCATCGAGTCTCTGTCATGTGCTCTCTCCCGGGTGAGGCACTTCATAGCCCTGCTCAGGCAATGCAAAAGCCTGTTTTTCTCCTTTTTACAGAAGAGCCATGGGAGGGCTCAGAGGGTGAAGGGACCCTCCCAGAGTCACACAGCTGATGAGCCCAGAGGCAGGTTCCTGGCACAGTTGGTTCATCTGGCTTCCAGAGCGAAAGTCTGTCTACTTCGTGGCCTGGCTTTTCTACCGCATTCGGCATCATGCATGTTCATGACCTTTCAGGCTTTGCTTTCAGCATTGCTAGTTGCTACTTGAGGGATTACTTTCAGGATTAACCCTAATTTCTCACAGGAAGCAACACCCATGTACCTTATTGTTCTAAGCAATCCCTTTTCATTAAAGACATCATTTACAGAGTTCTCAAACCAGTTTTGGGGGATCTAGCTATTTAGTAAAATAAAACTTAAATGAAAACACATTCCATATGGAATTTTTTTACAAGCCTATGTGTAATTATGACTACTAATAATTATTTCATGGGGAAATGCCCTCCTGCTGTGATGTTTTGGATGCTTGGAAGTTAGTAATAAGAATTGAAAACAATTAAAATTGGATATCATGGACAATATAGAAGTAAACTATCCTCTTAAAAGGCCAAACCATTTAGCATAGTTTAAAGAGGAAGGAAGGGAGGGAGGGCCATCATTCCCCAACTGTATTTAAATGAAGAACCTCTGGAACTGGGGTTCAGTACCTGTAGTTGTTAAGCAGTCCTCTTTAGGAGGATGTGATCTACCTCATTCACGGCCGTAAGTGGATTATGGACTAGGGTCCTCTCCCTCTAAGACAAGCACCTAATTTTTCCCAAAGCATGGCAACAAGCCCATATGGCTGGCTGAGTAGGACGTTTACTTTCCTGTTTTCAGGATGGGGTGGATTCTCTTTTTCATTTAGCAGCACTGTCTGGCTGTTAGGAGTCCAGGTGAGTTCTCTACGTTTGGGACACTGATAGATGTGTCTGAGTGCCTCCTGTGCTGTGCGGTTGATACTTTCCTTTCCTCCATAAGTATTTATCCAAGGCAAGTTCCGTTGTTGTATTTAT